GGGGGGGGGTCCTGTGTTTTTGCAAATAAGCAAATAAGCCCAACCCTCTGGTGCTGCCCTCAGGCTTACTGTGAGGAGGGAAGTTGACCCCGTTTTATATACGTTGTGATCCTTATCCTCCCTCCTTATTCTGTCCACTCATCAACCCTCACTGGTACTGCAGTGTACCATGTTTGAACTTTACACAACTACATTCATCTTTTATATAACTCTGCAGTGTGTTGGCTGTTTCATTTAATCCCATTTGGTACAAAATAGAACAGAGCGGAAACGCAGGAGGGAAAGAACTATGAAAAAAAACAAAACACCAAAGTTGTTACAGGAAATGATATTCACTGAGGCATACAAGCATTGCTCACAAAATGCAAGCACTACAATATACTGTGGACCACTTCTGGAGTTTTTTCACGTAGCATTCCTACATAATAACCTTAATTTTTAAAAATGGAGAAGAGGAGAGAAAAATGTCCACCTTGTAATGGTTGAAGTTTCTGCTATTTGTAGCACAAATGTGTTATTGTGTATGTAAAATGGCAAAATGACCAGAACTAAATTACAAGTGATGCAGATGGATCTCGCTGGAACCCAGGAATCTCATTTGTTAATCCCTGAAGTTCAGGAGCCAGGTGTTGGACCAAAAACGTTACTGATTAATTTGGACTACAATAGAAGTGCAACAAAGTTATGCATTACCGTGACCACACAACACATTATCTTTACATATCTATATCTGTACGCTTAAACTTATGAGTGAAATTGGAAGTAAAATGTACAAAATGAATATTCAGCCAAATCCATGAGACCAAACCAAACCAAATGTTGCAATAAATGCAACTCATCTCCTAACAAATCAGCAGATTTAAAGAAAAAGATAAATTCTCAGCAGAATACATGGCCACCAATCACTCTGCCACAAGACCATAAATAGGTTGAAAAGGGAACAGAACAGTCAGCAAGTTTCTATTGGCACTGTTTAAAAGACACAACACAGATTCCTACTGAACATGATTTACACTGAAGCTCCTGGTATAGCAAAACACATAATTTAAATGGCTGACCCAGAGAAATGTTATACTAAATTTTTAAGAATGCATTGTTCAAAAATGAAAACGCAGGATTATTAAATTTAATTGCACTGGAGCTACCAGAACATCTGAATACAACTTTTAAATGGCCTCAATTCCCAAACACAATGTTCTCTGAAGCTGCAATGCTGCTGCCGCACAGAATCCATCATCAGCTCTTTATTAATACATGAGCAAGAAATGCCACGGCTGGAAAAGATATTTTAGGGCGCTAAAATCCCATCGCATACACCCAGTGGATTCTTTTAGAAATACAGACTAACACACATCACAAGTTAATTCCACTGGATGATCAGAATTTGGTGATCCCATAAAAGATCAACCAAATCTAAAGAGTTCCCACTGGAGACTTTCAAAAATTAAAGTGGTTCCAGGATTATCAAGGGGTGGGTAACTTTACTATAATGACATGCAAAAGCAAAACACAAGGTTTGAACTCTGTAGTGGGCAATCCACGTGAGAAAGTGATTTCCCATGCTGCCTGAACCACAGTTCAACCTGGTGACTTTTTTGGCTTATGCTTTGACAGTATGGTTAAGATTTCTCATCTTAAAACTGTAAAAAAAGAAAATAAAATGGGACATTTCATAATCTAGAGTACAAAATATCATTTAAGAAATAAAGAAACTTTATAAAGAAAATGCAGAAACACATCTGCCTTCTTCTTAAATGGTCCAGAGCTCAGTTAAGATGGGCTGTGGTGATCTTCTGGTTTTCAGTTCTTTTTTGGAAATGATACGCAGGCAGCCTGTATTCTATTTTTTACACTACAAAAAAGTCAGAGAGAGTCATTAAGTGTACACTTTCAACTCGGTTGATAATGTCAGCACTTATGGTAATCTCAAATGTATCCCTCATAACCACAGGACTGTACTGGAACATTAAAATCATGCAATGTGATTTATGCCAGAATCAACTCTTCTCGGAGCAGTGACTTGTTTTTACACTGAATGACCTGTTGTGTGGAATGCTGTCATCCCTAAAATATGTGACTGGTAGATTTAAGTTCCTTTTGTTATTAAAGACCACTTTGAAGTCCTTCTTATACAAATTCTTGGGCCTGCTGGAACAGGTATGAGGGGAAATTGTCTCAACCCTCCACCCCCCTTTAGGTCCTCAAGGAATGAAATTCAAGCCGCTTGCATCATTTTCAGACATCATGCAAGTTGTTGCCCCATGGTCAAAATACAACTTAAGGTCTTTGAAAACAAGGTAAAGACCATGAAACACCTTCATGCCAGGAGTCATTTGTCTAAAGTCTTCTTTTCTCACATGTAGCACACAGTGAAAAATAATTCACACCAGCATCATTCTCTCTACTGGAAATATTTCATTTGGTTTTGCAGGAGCTGCCCAACAAGTGAGTGCTGGACGCCAGACACAGGACAGTCAGTGACTAACTGTGAACTCATCAGACTATCATCTGGACTATTCTTACATCAACACAGACTGTTTATTAGGAAGTCTGCAGTTCTGACGTGCACCTCCATCAGGCTAAGTCTCAAAAAAAAAAAAAAAATCAATGGCTACAGTGCATTTTTGAAAAAAGCAAGGCTTACGTAAAGACATATGACAAAATGTGATGATAAACATCTCTGTTAAAAAGCCGTTTGGAGTCCTGCAACACATTCCTGCCATTTGACCTAGGTACAACTGTGAAAGGAAAAACAAGCCAGGCCCAACCAGTAACAAGCTCCAACACAAAACCCTGTAATCTGAACACTCTGGTCTCCAGAGATAATAACACAGGTAGCTGTATGCAGCAAGAGGAGGGGGTTTAACTACTGAAAGACTGCACTTAAGACAGCTCACATTTCCCAACTGATATAGAGTCATATGTGTCTTTGAAAATGGAAGCACTAAACACAAACCCTTGTTCTCATGACTCATTTTCTGCTCTCGAGTGGGCTCAACTGTATTCAAGATTCTATTAGGCCAGAGGGAAATTTGGTATTACAAGAGCTTGCATCCATTTTCAAAAGGTTCCTGTGCCAGAAAAAAAAACCCATACATATTAAAAGTAATTTAACAGCTTAGATTAAAACAATATACTATGGTTATATATTCAAAGAGTAATTTCCAACTGTAATCTGTAACCCTGGAAACATTAAATAGCAAACAAACTGAAAAGAGGGGCTTTCAGTGATATGGAAAGCAGCTCAACTTTGTTTGCTAACACTGCTGAATGCATCATGAAAAAAAACAAATCAGGTTAGACAGGATCGGCCAAAACACTTTTTATGCAGCTTTATTCAAAATTTACCTCTAAAATAACAAATAGAGCATGTATGGCTTTAACAGCCGCATTGACAAAGCAGCAGGTGAAGCAACATTTCAGCAAAAACAAATCACCAGCCAAGCCACGGAGTCATTTTCATTCGCTGCTGATCTGATTATGTGTTTCAGAGTACGGCGGGGCACGTGAGGCTGCTGTGTGTGACCTGTCTGACCCTGTCACAAGAGGCTCAGGTGGCTGGGTGTTATGGAGCATTTTTAATGTAGGAGAGCAACCCTTCGAAGGATGCCAGAACATACAAAGCCGAATTATGAACGCCAGCAGAGCTAGTTTGATGCAAGTGAGCTCCACTCAGTGGAAAGGATTTTGTCGATAAATCATTCTTGATTGCAAAATGTGGATACAGCAATGACCCGGAGCTGTGTCGTTTTAAAAGAAACGCTATGCTTTTGTGAGCCTGTTGCTGAGCAGCAGCTGGTATTGTTTAGCCTAGTGGCACCTTTGTCCCTCAATGCCATGTGCAGAGGTCAACTCTTCTGCTGATGTTTAAGCTGCATACAGCATAAACTGCAGGTTTTATTGGGTCAACATGTCTTTTGTCCACTCTGTAGACTTAAGAGTACTTTATACGGTTCTGTGGTCACAGATAAAAACAAACTTATGAAAAATTAATGTCTCGTCTTTTTCTCCACAGTATCTGTCAAAATGACGACCAGAGTTTGAGGTGTAATAAAACGCCCAGAGAATAGAAACTATCATCTATTATCCTACATTTGTCCAAATTCATTGTAGGTGCAAGATCTTGTGAGGTCATAATACTTTCACCTCCATTAATAGCAGCAATTTGCTTGTGTAGAGGTTCACAGCTAAGGTGCCATAAGATCACTTCCTGCTCATGGCTCTTTGCCTCCTCATTAACAACCTTTGAAGTTACTTTAACAGTACTTTAACAGCTGTTAGTGGAAGGCGT